ATGTTGTCTCTAATATGAACTTCACTGTCTTTTGTAATTCACTCAGCAACCTGTAAAGTTTGGCTTGCACCGATGTTTTTCTTGGCCAAAAGTTCTGCCTTGATATGTTGTATTTGGGACGGTCTTGGAGGACATAATCTGTTGTCTCAGGTGCCAATCCACATGTGCACATGGCTGATTTGCTGATTTTAAATGTGTGTACATGTGGTTGCGAAGTCGACTGTGTTCTGTTCTAAGGCGTAGAATAATGACTTGCTCTGGTCTGTGCATAAAATCGTAATCGTCTTGTGTCGGTTTTGGTGGCTTTCTAATTGATTTGATTATTCTCTTCTTTTGTTGATAAGAGACTTGTACGACAGGTTGTTCTTCGTTTACACCTTCCTTAGCTAGTTTATCAGCTCTGTCATTTCCGAAAACTCCACAGTGGGGCGGTAAAAACAGGAAATTGATCTTGCTATAGTTTAAAGCTAGCTGACTAGCACAACAGCTTTTAAATCCATTTAACAGTGATATCAAACGTGTGCTATTTGTCGCTGGATTACATATTGCACATTTTGTTAAATGGTTTCCCTCCAAGACTGCAGTCTGTAGGATTAGCAGGTCAAGGATGAGAATCACACAGGTACAAATTCGGGAAAACCAGATCGACCGTTTAGCTATTCAGTAGTTATATTCTGACGCACCAGAACGGTCAAACAAAGTAACTTGTAGTGCACTGTGGGTGGGCGGGTGTGCATTGCTTTTTCATTTTTTTTCAGTGCCGGCTCTCTCCGAATAGCGGTCCTAAATTATCGAGGCTAAGGAAAATACCCTAAGAGGGCTTCAGCCATATGTAAAACTGCTTATTCCTTTCCGGTGAGTACACTACGGTAAAAATATAATTAATTTCCGGCGATAATTTTGCAAAACGCAAACATTGTCACAGAATTATCACCATGGCAGGGAGACCATCAGCTCCGACACTTGGTCCTAGGTTTAACTTCTCCCCCTGGGTCCTAGGTTTAATGTCTTCCCCTGGGTCCTAGGTTTAACTTCTCCCCCTGGGTCCTAGGTTTAACTTCTCCCCCTGGGTCCTAGGTTTATATTCTCCCCCTGGGTCCTAGGTTTAACTGCTCCCTTGGGTCCTAGGTTTAACTTCTCCCCCTGGGTCCTAGGTTTAATGTCTTCCCCTGGGTCCTAGGTTTAACTTCTCCCCCTGGGTCCTAGGTTTAACTTCTCCCCCTGGGTCCTAGGTTTAACTTCTTCCCCTGGGTCCTAGGTTTAACTTCTCCCCCTGGGTCCTAGGTTTAACTTCTCCCCCTGGGTCCTAGGTTTAATGTCTTCCCCTGGGTCCTAGGTTTAACTTCTCCCCCTGGGTCCTAGGTTTAATGTCTTCCCTGGGTCCTAGGTTTAACTTCTCCCCTGGGTCCTAGGTTTAACTTCTCCCCCTGGGTCCTAGGTTTATATTCTCCCCCTGGGTCCTAGGTTTAACTGCTCCCTTGGGTCCTAGGTTTAACTTTCCCCCCCTGGGTCCTAGGTTTAACTTTTCACCTGGGTCCTAGGTTTAACTTCTCCCCTTGGGTCCTAGGTTTAACTTCTCCCCCTGGGTCCTAGGTTTAACTTCTCCCTTGGGTCCTAGGTTTAACTTCTCCCCCTGGGTCCTAGGTTTAACTTCTTACCTGGGTCCTAGGTTTAACTTATCTCCCTGGGTCCTAGGTTTATTTTCTCCCCCTGGGTCCTAGGTTTAACCTCCCCTGGGTCCTAGGTTTAACTTCTTCCCTGGGTTCTAGGTTTTAATTCTCCCCCCTGGGTCCTAGGTTTAACGTCTTCCCCTGGGTCCTAGATTTAACTTCTTCCCCTGGGTCCTAGGTTCATGGTTAGGGCAACGAGTGTTACAATTACGACACCGCCACCATAATCTGTCATAACAGTCCAACCGCGACACTACCGATTGAGGGTTTATGCATGCAACTGAAAACAGACGCAACGTTACGAAGGCGGGACTAGTCGCGCGATTTGCCGCCCGCCCCTGGTGTATTCGGCGGAAATAAATCCTAATTTTACACACCATTGAGGCCATGTTAGGGTAATTTCTTAGCCTCGATAATTTAGAGGGAGTCAACGTGGCATTTTTTCAAAAATGACCTTGACTCCTAGGTCGACCCAGCTTTGAGTGGGTACCAGGTGCAGTCCCTTGAAGTAAAGGCGGTCGGCATGATGCTAACCACATAACCCATCTTCTGCCGATTGGTCTATAAAACATATAGGTCTAGCCCTATATGCACTATACGCCTAAAAGCGTGGAAAAGGGACCTTTACTTTACTTACTTATTCGTAGGAGAACCGCGTTATGTATCTTTCCAATAGCTTTAAGTATCTTACCAGTAACTAAGTATGTTTAGTATATTTCCCAGCCTGCCTGCCTTTCCATTAGGTTTTGGTACCTTTCCAGCTACGTTCTGAATTTTTCTAGTAATGGTTCCGTATTTTTCCTGTTCCGTTCCGTATGTGTTCATTAGTTTCCGGACTTTTCCAATAGCTTTCAAGTCTTCTTCTTTTGTCAAAATCTGCTTGTGCCGCTAGGCGTCGCAGTCTATCAGATGATCGGCAACCGAGCCAGGGCGCGCTCAGTCGCTTCATATGCCGTGATGTTATGAAGTCTCAAGTTGTCCGTGACTCCTTCAATCCATCTTCTTCTTGGTCTTCCCCTGCCTCTTGTTGTTTCGATTTTCATGTTGTATGCTCTTGATGCTGGCATCGTTGGTTCCATTCTCATTAGGTGACCAAACCATTTCATTCTTTGCTTCTCAATAAATTTAACGATGGGTATGGTTCCAATAGTTTCTTGTGATCACATCGTTTCTCACTCGATCTCTTCTGGTTTTATTCGCAGCCATTCTCAAACATCTCATTTCACAGGTGGTTAGTCTTCTCTCGTGTTCTTTTGTTAATGTCCAAGTCTGACATTGATAACCTAATGTCGGTATAAAGATTGTATTTATAATTTGTCTTTTTATCTCAGCTGGGACAGCAGGGTGTTTTAAAATTGGGGCAAGCTGGTATGCGACATTGTTGGCTTGTTGGATTCTTGCTTCAATCTCTCTGTCTATTTTACCATTGGATGTAAAGATACTTCCCAGGTATTTAAATTCTTGCACTTGTTTTAGGCTGTGATCTAGAATCTTTATGTCGATGGTCTGTTGCTCTCTACTTATGCTCATGACTTCTGTCTTTTCAGTATTGATCTTCATATGATGCTTGAGGCAACTGTCGTGTAGTAGGTTCATGTGGTCTTGCAGCTGTTTACTATCACTGTGAAATATGCATTGATCGTCGGCAAAGAGCAGCTCATTGAAGTCCTCCCTGTTTATCGACATCTGTTGGTGTTATGTCTATTTTATTAATATTGTCCATAAATATTATGAAAAGTAAAGGTGATAATACACAACCTTGTCTTACTCCTGATGTTACTGGGAACCAGTCTGTGATGCCAGCTCTAGTTCTAATGGCGCTTTCACTTTGTCTATAAATAGCCCTAACACAATCTAAAATTGTTCCATTTATACCGTAGTTTTCAAGAACTTTCCATAATAAATTTCTGTTTACTCTATCGAAAGCTTTTTCTTGATCTATGAAAGCGATGTTCATTTGATGTCTGTGTTCTATTGTCTTTTCGCTAACTTGTCTTAAAGCAAAAATAGCGTCAGTACACCCTCTTCCTTTTCTAAATCCGACCTGTGATGGGCTCAGGATCGGTTCTACAACGGATCTAATTCGTTGTTCCAGAATTTTGGCAAATATTTTTCCTACGTGGCTTAGAAGGGAGATGCCTCTGTAATTGTTACAATCTTGCTTATTGCCTTTTCTTTTCCAAATTGGGACTATAAGAGCTCTTTGCCAGTCTATTGGTACAGTTTCTTTCATTCCAGGCTTTCCTAAATATGTGGAGTAGCCAGGTGACTCCAATTTCTCCACAAGCCTGTATTGCCTCGGCTGATATTCCATCAACACCTGATGCCTTATTTTTGGGACTGCATCTGATTGCTTCTCTGACTTCTTGTTCGATTATTGTAGGCTGTTCCTCGTTTGTACATCTGGGTGTGAATGGTACTGTTTCCTCATTTCCTGTTACATTCAGAAGAGTCTGAAAATATTCTTTCCACCTTTCTCTGATCTTGCCCTCCTCATGTATGGGTTTGCCTTGACTATCATTGACATATTCAGATGGCTGGAATGGTTCATCTCTAGTCCTCATTTTTGCAATGGTTTTGTAAAACTGTCTACTAGATTTAGCACAGATTTTGGTAAGATTTTCCCCATACATGATCCAGGATGTTTCCTTGGATTGTTTAATTTCTCTTGCAGATTGTCGCCTGGCAATTCTGTACTTGATATAATCGTCATCTGAGCGGGATCTTAGCCATTTCTTGTATTGCTCCTTTTTACATTTCACTGCTTGTTTTACGTTATCATTCCACCATGCTGTTTTTTTCCTGAACGTTCCTCCTGTGTATCTAATACCACAGAGTGTTGTTAGGCAGTTCAGAAGAGTGTTCTTAAATTTTTGCCACGCAGCTTCCACATTGTCACTTGATGTTATTAGCTCAGCCATCTTCGCCGTCATTTCTGCCTGTACTTTCAAGTATTGGTCTCATTTGCCTTTTAGTATCAATCCGCTATCTTTCCAATAGCTTCCCAAGATCTTGCAAATAACTGAAGAAAACGGAAGGGATTAAAGTGATTAGTGAATAGAAAGGATTATCATCACAACAGTCCAGTCAGATGCATGTGTGCTCCGATCTCCTCAAATCTCCATAAGTGTAAAACGACGCATGACGCCTGTTCTGTGTTGGTTAATGAAACGTCGTGTCCCCTTCGTGAAATGTTCATTTCTTGCAGCTCCAGGCTGCACCCCCATGTCCATCAGTCTAGGCAGGGATTATCTAAAAGGTTATGTGAATATTACAGGAAATGAAGAGACCGGTAATGACAAATGATTTCATCAATTTTTCAGAGGGACAATGACCACAAAACACAGCCCATTGCAGATCTTTTGCCTGGTGGTCAACTTTCTTGTTGTTGTTTTGACGACCGTTGTGGCATTCACAATATTAGGCCGTCAGTACCAACTACTGGAAGGTGAGCAAACATATCCGTGTCTGTTACATAATACATATAAGGATGAAAAGCGGTAGTAGAAGAACCATTTTTCAACCACCTTAGGCGAAATGGGTGTATAGTAAGAGAAAACTCCATAGAGGAGCATGTACAGCAGGAGTCTACCAGTCATCAGTAGAAGTGATATCTCGTCGACAAATGTTTCGGCCCACGAGCTCCTAGACATTTTCAGAGAGTGGGCCCACCTGAGTTCATGAGGCTCAGGGTTGATCTGCTCCTGCTGCACGTATTACCGGATGTTCTCTGACTGGGACAAGACGAAATTGGTGACTGTGCTAGTGGTACTGTGAGATGCGAAGTGTATTTACATAGTCGCTGCGGTAGCATAATTAGAGCAGTCAGCTTACCTGGACGACCAAGTGGCAAGCTTACGGTTGGTTTATCGGACACATGTTGGACTTTGTTGGCAGATGGCAGAGGGACACCGGCAGACAATTCGGACACGATGGACTTTAAGGGATACGATTTTCTTTTCCACTAGATACCCGGACCAGCTCACTGAGGCCCTCCCCCCCCCCCTTTCGCCAAGTTGTGTCCAGAGCCAGCTCGAGGCCCTCTATGCAGCCTCGCCTAGTTGTTTTAGTGCTCGTTTGCGCTCATTTCCTCGTAAACCCAGTTGTTCAATCACGTTGTACATAGAAGTGAAATCGAGACCTCTTGCGCCTACCTCGACGGCGAAGATTCTTACTGTGTACGCTTCGTCTCTCCTCAGACCAGCCTAAGTCACTGTACTTCTCGAGCTTGTACACGTGGCTTTCGTCCATTCGCGACTCATACGGCACGGTCAGCTCGATCAGGATGAGTTGACGTTTCTCCGCAGAGTGTAGAACTATGTCGGGTCGCAGGTCAGTCTTCCTGATTAACTCAGGGTACTTTTCGTGACCAGGCAGGTCAACCGCCAGTAACCAGTCCCTCGCACAGTCAAGCATCGATGGAGCGTATGCGACCTTGTTGTTTTTACCTAAAAGTAATGTAAAGTAAGGGACTCTCCCCCCCCCCCTTTTTTTTTATTTTAAGGCGTATTGGGCTTATAGGGCTAAACCTAAATTTTATAGATCAATCAACACTCGATGTCTGATGTGGTGAATATCAAGCCGACAGCCTTTACTTCCCATGACTTTACATGGTACTCATTTTATGCTGGGACCCAAAGTCATTTTGTTAAGTGCTAGGAGCAATAGTCCGAAGAAGCTCTGCACAGTGCACAGGCTCTGTAACACTGGCGAGGATCCTGAAAATACTTTGTGTGGTTTTTAACTCCAGGTTTTGCCCTGGCTACACTTTTCGATTTCCAACTGCCAAGGGATTCTTTACGTGCGCGACAATACACACGGGTGTCCGATCTCACTACCCAGAAACCGGGGGGGGGGGGGGGGAATAACTAGAAGTCCAAGTCCACGTGGAAAAATCCCAGCTATTACCGATGATTCAAACCGGAACCTCTAGCACTCAAGGCAGACACCATGCCCCGAGAATTAAATGTTGACGTATAGTTGCTTCAATGTGTACAACGAAAACTGCTCATCATCATTGTACGTGATTGACAGAATGTCTTTCTCGTCATGGCACGCCCCACAGTCTATCCTTCTCTTGCCAGTTCTCCAGCCCTATGTGCTTTCATAGCCTACACATGTGCGTTATCTTGTCTCTGTCTTCGTGGAGGCCAACCTCTGATTCATTCTCTGAAAACTGCTTCATTTATCTCCAACCCTCCCCCACCCACGACCCCCACCCCCACCCACGACCCCACCAGCCACATGGTGTTTTTTCTTCTTCTCTTTCTTCGCATTTCCCGTTAGTAAACTCCGGCGGAGAGTTCTGTATGTTCGTCCACCCCCGGACTTGAGTCTTGTTCCAGAGCCTGAGTGCTGCGTGGATATCCGTTCGCACATCTCTCATATTTGTATGCAGACTCTTGGTTTCTTGCCTCTCATGCAGATATACACCGACTTCAGAGAATATCCCTAATAGGTCGACACCTACGACATGCTTGTTGGGGAGGCAGTGAGTCTATTCTTGCCCCCACCCCTCCGCCACAGTGGAGCCCCAGAACCTGCACGGGTGACTATAACGTTAATCAATGCCAAAATACCTTCGGGGTAGGATGCTGTTTACGAGCCAGTTATCCTCGATTTTTAGTTAACATAAGACAGTGTTTCCCAAACTTTTCTTAGTCGGGGCCCCTTTTTTTTCAATTAAAATTTTTCCACAGCACCCGAACCTAAGTACACACATGACTTCGTGTGTAAGAGGGAAAAAAAGGTGAAGAGGTCGCGGCTCCCCGGCGGCGCCGCGGCGAACAGTTTGTGAATCACTGATATAAGATGTCGATATGTTCCTTACTGTATCAGTCATGTTCATTCTGCAATTGTTTTATGTCCATCTTCAGCAATTCCTGGCTTGTTTCGCAACGACCTTCAAAAGGTAGCTGAAGCCCAACCGAGCCCAATCTCCCCTCCGCAATGGTTGCACTGCACCTGGGGAGTGATCCTCGTCTGGCAGGTGGTGTGGGCAGTCCACGGCCTGGCGTCCATCTGCAGGACCACGTTTGGGTTTCCTGTGTACACCAATCCTGTGCTGCTGACGCCGTTGATGCTGGTGCTGTTTATGTTTGCTTGCGGCTTCAACGTCTCCTGGTTTATTCTATATGACAGTAATGCCACAACTACTATCCTCGTCTACGTCGTCGTCATCATTATCTTTATTCTTATCATCATTGTCATCTTCATCGTTAGTTTGATAGTCATAGACAATAACAACAAATACCAGTACCTACCATTTACAACACACCTGCTGCTGTTGATGCTGCTACTATTGTAAACACGACGACCATCACCACTACTGCTGCTGTTATTGCTACTACTACTGCTGCTACTACTGCTGCTACTGCTACTACTACTTCTTCTTCTTACAACAACAATAGCAACATCAACATCAACAGTAACAATAACTACTACTAATACAGCCACTTCTAGTACTGCTGCTGCTGCTGCTGCTGCTACTACTACTTCTGCTGCTACGATTACTACTTCTACTACTACTACTACTACTACTACTACTACTACTACTACTACTACTACTACTACTACTACTACTACTACTACTACTACTACTACTACTACTATTACTACTACTGCTGCTACTACTACTACTACTACTACTACTACTACTACTACTACTACTACTACTACTACTACTACTACTACTACTATTACTACTACTGCTACTACTTCTTTTTCTGCTACTACTTCAACTGTTGCAGCTCCTACTGCTGCTGCTGCTGCTACTACTACTACTACTACTACTACTACTACTACTACTACTACTACTACTACTACTACTACTACTACTACTACTACTACTACTACTACTACTATTACTATACAATTACTACTGTTATTATGTATACTTTTATAAAACTAATGGTGTTGTTGCTGTTAAGACTCCTTCCACATCCGCCATAATTTCATTTTTTTAACGTGAAGTAATACATCATCATCACCACCATACCTCGAAACTTTATCACTACCACCATCATTTAATCTACTACCACTTCCACCGTAGCCGCCAACCGCTACCTCGCTGTCTTCCACAGCTGTACACCTCCACCTCTTGCCTGTTTGAGTCTCTCCTGACATCCATTTGCATCTCTGACTTCCGGGGCAGTAAGACGCTGCCTCCTGGCTTCTCATGTTCTTCATGATCACAACTTGTACCCAGCTAATGACTCACATCCATGTCTTCTAGAGCTGTACACTTGTACCCCAGCTAATGACTCACATCTATGTCTTCTAGAGCTGTACACTTGTACCCAGCTAATGATTGACATCTCTGTCTTCTAGAGCTGTACACTGTTTGTACCCCAGCTAATGATTGACATCTCTGTCTTCTAGAGCTGTACACTTGTACCCCAGCTAATGACTCACATCTATGTCTTCTAGAGCTGTACACTTGTACCCCAGCTAATGACTCACATCTATGTCTTCTAGAGCTGTACACTTGTACCCAGCTAATGATTGACATCTCTGTCTTCTAGAGCTGTACACTTGTACCCCAGCTAATGATTGACATCTCTGTCTTCTAGAGGTGTACACTTGTACCCCAGCTAATGACTCACATCTATGTCTTCTAGAGCTGTACACTTGTACCCAGCTAATGATTGACATTTCTGTCTTCTAGAGCTGTACACTTGTACCCCAGCTAATGATTGACATCTCTGTCTTCTAGAGCTGTACACTTGTACCCCAGCTAATGACTCACATCTATGTCTTCTAGAGCTGTACAGTTGTACCCAGCTAATGACTCACATCTATGTCTTCTAGAGCTGTACACTTGTACCCCAGCTAATGACTCACATCTATGTCTTCTAGAGCTGTACACTTGTACCCAGCTAATGATTGACATCTCTGTCTTCTAGAGCTGTACACTTGTACCCCAGCTAATGATTGACATCTCTGTCTTCTAGAGCTGTACACTTGTACCCCAGCTAATGACTCACATCTATGTCTTCTAGAGCTGTACACTTGTACCCCAGCTAATGACTCACATCTATGTCTTCTAGGGCTGTACAGTTGTACCCAGCTAATGACTCACATCTATGTCTTCTAGAGCTGTACACTTGTACCCCAGCTAATGACTCACATCTATGTCTTCTAGAGCTGTACACTTGTACCCAGCTAATGATTGACATCTCTGTCTTCTAGAGCTGTACACTTGTACCCCAGCTAATGATTGACATCTCTGTCTTCTAGAGCTGTACACTTGTACCCCAGCTAATGACTCACATCTATGTCTTCTAGAGCTGTACACTTGTACCCAGCTAATGATTGACATCTCTGTCTTCTAGAGCTGTACACTTGTACCCCAGCAAATGACTCACATCTATGTCTTCTAGAGCTGTACACTTGTACCCAGCTAATGATTGATATCTCTGTCTTCTAGAGCTGTACACTTGTACCCAGCTAATGATTGACATCTCTGTCTTCTAGAGCTGTACACTTGTACCCCAGCTAATGATTGACATCTCTGTCTTCTAGAGCTGTACACGTGTACCCAGCTAATGATTGACATCTCTGTCTTCTAGAGCTGTACACTTGCACCCAGCTAATGATTGACATCTCTGTCTTCTAGAGCTGTACACTTGTACCCAGCTTATGACTCACATCTCTGTCTTCTAGAGCTGTACACTTGTACCCCAGCTAATGACTCACATCTATGTCTTCTAGAGCTGTACACTTGTACCCAGCTAATGATTGATATCTCTGTCTTCTAGAGCAGTACTCTTGCACCCAGCTAATGATTGACATCTCTGTCTTCTAGAGCTGTACACTTGCACCCAGCTAATGATTGACATCTCTGTCTTCTAGAGCTGTACACTTGTACCCAGCTAATGACTGACATCGCTGTCTTCTAGAGCTGTACACTTGTACCCCAGCTAATTATTGACATCTCTGTCTTCTAGAACAGTACTCTTGCACCCAGCTAATGATTGACATCTCTGTCTTCTAGAGCTGTACACTTGTACCCCAGCTAATGATTGACATCTCTGTCTTCTAGAGCTGTACACTTGTACCCCAGCTAATGATTGACATCTCTGTTTTCTAGATCTGTACACTTGTAACCAGCTAATGATTGACATCTCTGTCTTCTAGAGCTGTACACTTGTACCCCAGCTAATGATTGACATCTCTGTCTTCTAGAGCTGTACACTTGTACCCCAGCTAATGACTCACATCTATGTCTTCTAGACCTGTACACTTGTACCCAGCTAATGATTGACATCTCTGTCTTCTAGAGCTGTACACTTGTACCCCAGCTAATGATTGACATCTCTGTCTTCCAGGGCTGTACACGTCAACCTCCTGCTTGTTTGTGTTCCTCATGACCTCCACGGCCTGGACAGCCTATGGGCTCTCGTTGACAGCGCTCAACTTCAACTATTACCGGATGCAGAAGACGAGCATGGAGTGTGAGGTCTGCGTGACCAGAGTCCTGGTTCAGGTTTGTGTTTGTGGATTCGAAGAGATAGGAGAGTAGGGGTCATTGGGTGTATGATAAATCGGTTAGTTCCCCCAGAGCCCATATACACACTAGCTCACTTCTGATTGGTAGCTTCTGAGTCGCTTGACTTTTGCAAACTGCTACGGGGGTGTTCTGCAATGCCGTTGATATCGCGTGTTGTATATTTCAGCACGCCAGCGCTTTTAACACTACAAAAACATAGACAAACTGGGTCTAACACACAAACTCCTAGAGACTGCTGCGACATATGTCACAGGCATTCTCTTTTTCGGAAGAAAAACGTAAATGGAGGATAAGCCAGAAAGCAAACAATAGAGCGGCACACCCGTAATCCGCAGGAAAGTAGACCAGTCCAAAAAGTTATTAATGAAACGTGACCTACTTTGTTTGGGGAGACTAACATCGAAGTAAATAATAACTGGACAACAACTTCCAAAGCCACTATTATACAACTGCCATTTACTGCCTGTTTCATTTTTGTAACCACTTTTGCGGTGTAGGAAGGAAGGTCTTTAAGCGTTAGTGCTGTCGTCACGGACTGTGCAGGTTAGGATTTTATTTTTGCCCTCGACAGAATGATATCTGTAACCTTACTGACGATTAGAACCGGGGTTCTAGAGCTTATCTTGGTCCTCGTCGCTACAATAACATCTAAAAACTACTGCTGCTGCTGATTCTACTCCTGCTGCTGCTGCTACTAATACTACTAATCTAGTTCTATTGCTGCTGCAGCTACTACTACTTCTAATTATCTGCTACTACTACTACTACTGCTGCTGCTGCTACTACTTATACTACTGCTACTGCTGCTGCTATTACCAATCTACTACTATTGCTGCTACTACTACTACTAATTATCTGCTACTACTGCTGCTGCTGCTACCACTACTACAACTACTAATCTACTACTATAGCTGCTGCTGCTACTTATAATACTACTAATCTACTACTATTACTGCTGCTGCTACTGCTGCTGTTACTACTACTACTACTACTAATATACTACTACTTCTGCTGCTACTGCTACATCCACTACTAATCTACTACTGCGGCTGCTGCTACTACTAATCTACTACTAATACTACTAATCTATTACTATTACTGCTGCTGCTACTGCTGCTGTTACTACTAGTACTACTACTACTAATATACTACTACTGCTGCTGCTACTACTACAACCACTACTAATCTACTACTGCGGCTTCTACTACTACAACCACTACTAATCTACTACTGCTGCTTCTACTACGAATCTACTTCTATTGCTGCTGCTGCTGCAAAAAAAAAAAAAAAAAGACCAACATTGCCTGTAAAGAACACTTTGGCTGTGTAGGTAATTGGTGGACTGAAACAAATCTCCAACCTGACCAGGAATTCGAATGGCGGTTCCTTGCATCAGAGGCCAGCGTTCTTGTTGATTCGGCCAGCTGCTCCTCGCCTCTACTATATCAGCTAGAAACCACCAGCACCAGCACCACCACCACCACCACCAGCACCACCACTACAACCACCACTACAACCACCACTACAACCACCACCACCACTACAACCATCATGACCACCACTACAACCACCACTACCACCACCACCATACCACCAGCACCACTACTCTACGTCTATTCCTCCTCCCAATTGTTTCTTCTTCTTCTTCTTCTTCTGTTTTTCTATTCCTGCGTTTGCTTCTTCTGTGTCTCCCTCTCCCTCTGTTGCTTCTTCTTCTCAACATTCTGTTTCTCCTACAGCTTCTTCTTCTTCTTGGTATTCTTCAAGGAAGCATAACCCCTCCATTGCCAAACACTGCCGCCCTCTCTCGAATAGTTTTATGTGGTCATGCTAAAATCAAACGTGTTGAGCCGAAAAGCACATTTCACAGCCTAGCTGTAAACCACAACACAACATGCCAACCGAGCCTTTGAAGGCAAACGAACTAGAAGATTAAGGAATCTCTTCTGAACAATTATTTCATTCAAATACAGCTAGTATACAACTACCTTCTAAACGTTCGCATATTGTGAAGCAAGCAATTCATATATTTGATTTTGAATGACTCAGGTAGTGATTTTTTATAGTTGGTTAGTTGCACCGGTTTTTCATAACCAGTCTATCTATATCAGCTAAAAAACTGTTGAAACAACGGTTCTTAAACTGTATTAACTCACTCTCTTTTTTTTTTTTTTATAAACCAATGAGTTCTAGCTCACGCTAACTGCAGGCAGCGCGTAGAGCTACTGTGTGTGATTTAAATAATTTCTTTGAATGTTGAATTAGGAATCGACTTCACAGCACTCGGGACACTCCCATAAGTGCTCAGTCCCCATCTTCGGCAGCAAGCAAAGAGTTGGAATTATAATGGATCCAGTAACTGTCTAATTGTACATCCGTCTCGCCTTTACCTTGAATGATGGGCGTCGGCCAGATCCCCTGGTAACTCCTCGCAGCGCCATTCTCCTCAGGGCGTAATGATCTATTTGCACCTCCGCACTGTTCACTCGCTCCCAAAGGGCCCTCACAATATCTGACTTGTCAAGTGTTCCAGAGCCAGCCAGTCTATCTGCCTGCTCATTTCCCAACACACCGGCATGACCAAGAGAAAAATTCCAAAGGATGTTAACTGATCAGGAACCTCTGAAGTAATGCTTGCCACTCTGCACGAAGCATGCCTGTTTTCACCTTTCTCAACATGCTCTGTGAGTCAGTTACAGTCACGGCATGTGTTTACAGCTGATTTTTAATTCTTTGAAAATGCATAAGGTTCTTTTTATGCTCATACAAAGAAGTGATGAGTCCTTAATGCACAGGGTAAACCAAAATTACAACTTTAATGTTTGAAATAAATGCAGTATGTTATTTTATAAAATCAACATCAACATAGGTAATTCGGCAACAGTAGTGGACACAATTTTTAAAAAAATTTGAGGAGAAACAAAACCTCAGCACTCTGCTTTATAGCAGTGAATTGGTCAGCTTATTCGCACCAGGAAAAATGGCTAAATAGATTTCACACGGGATGCATAAGAAGAATACTTGGCAATAAGTGGCAAGATAAGGTAAAAAAAAAAAACACTGGGGTGTTGAAAAGAGCAAGTACTGCAACAGCTCAATCTCTGAAGGCTCAGGTGGCTGGGTCAGATCTGGAGAATGAAGGATCGCAGCGTTCCTACGGACATCAGTTACAGTGAAATGAAGATGGGTAGGAGATGTCGAGGCCGGTCTCTACTACGATATGAAGATGTGTGCAAGCGGGACATAAATGATACAGGTATTAAGGTGGACTCTTAGAAACAAAATGCCATTGACCGCGCTGCATTAAGAGGGCACATCAGGAATGGAATGAGAATGAAGGAAAAAGATTGCAGAAAGTATGAGAGCTGAGCGGTCCAGGAATCCCAAGCTTTAATTGTGGGCCGGTCTCGGAGAACTTGGACAGACGTCAGAAAAAAACCAGGGCTGTACCGGTTAAAAAAAGAAAGAAAAACTGGCTCCTGATGATGTCGCTCCATCTCTTGCATGGTCTTCCCCTTGCTCTGTGTTCATTATATTTCTTCATTGCGGTTCTCTGTTGCAGTTGGTACCAGGGGATTCTCTTCAGGTGGCCAAACCATCTCATTTTTTGTTCTTTAATGAATTGTATGACTGGTTTCAGTCCTAGTCTTCTTTTAATTTCTTCAGTGATGATTTTGTCTCTTCTTGTCACACCGACAGCTCTACTTAGACATCTCATCTCTGTTGTTACGAGATTCCGCTCTTCATTTGTAGTAAGGGTCCATGTTTGGAAGACCATGACAGGGGCACATAGAGAGAATGAGTGAAATCACATACAAATGAGTTGAATCGGAGTTGATTACGAGAAAGGTCAAGAAAACGGTGGCGAGAAAGGGTTAAAGTAACGTTAATCTCCCCAGATAGAGTAGGTAACTTTTCATTCACAAGTTTGTTAGGCTGGTCGACTTTACTGAAGGTTACGAGTGTGCCCCGCTCTGTTGTTTGCTTTCTGTGCTGTCTTGCATTTACGTTTTAATTCCGAAAAAGAGCATGCCTGTGACATAATTTACAGCACTCTCTAGGGGAGTTGTGTTAGGGCCAATTGCTCCATGATTTTGGAGCGTTAAAAGCACTGGCGTGATGAAACAAACAACACGCGACATCAACAGTATCGCGGAGCACCCCTCTGACTTTGTGCCACGGGGCTCAAGAACTAAGGATCAGAAGTGACCTAGTGTGTATATAGGCGGGGCGTGGGGGGGGGGGTGGGGAATTAACGTTACGTGTTCCCGAAAAAGTATACAAACAGACCCACACTTACTTGGAGTCATCAACTGGAAAGAAAAGACCGATGACAGAGACGAATGGAAGCGGTGATGTCTGCAAAAATGACCATCAAAGGGGTTCAGATTCCACACTTTAAGAATCACTCAGTGGTAATATGTTACGTCTGAATGACTTTCAATAGAAATAACTATTTCCATATTTTCCGCAGAATGGACTAGCTGCCTACGCTATGTGGGGCGTGTTTGTGCTGGCGTTCAATGTGGCTGTGGCCCTCATTCACAACACACACACACATACGTCTGAAAACATGGCTACAATAGTAAGAGCTCTCTGTATGTGTTCAATGTGGCTGTGGCCCTCATTCACAACACACACACACATAAGATCTGAAAACATGGCTACAATAGTAAGAGCTCTCTGTATGTGTTCAATGTGGCTGTGGCCCTCATTCACAACACACACACACATGTCTGAAAAATGGCTACAATAGTAAGAGCTCTCTGTATGTGTTCAATGTGGCTGTGGCCCTCATTCACAACACACACACACATACGTCTGAAAACATGGCTACAATAGTAAGAGCTCTCTGTATGTGTTCAATGTGGCTGTGGCCCTCATTCACAACACACACACACATACGTCTGAAAACATGGCTACAATAGTAAGAGCTCTCTGTATGTGTTAATGTGGCTGTGGCCCTCATTCACAACACACACACACATACGTCTGAAAACATGGTACAATAGTAAGAGCTCTCTGATGTGTTTCAATGTGGCTGTGGCCCTCATTCACAACACACCACACACATACGTCTGAAAACATGGCTACAATAGTAAGAGCTCTCTGTATGTGTTCAATGTGGCTGTGGCCCTCATTCACAACACACACACACATACGTCTGAAAACATGGCTACAATAGTAAGAGCTCTCTGTATGTGTTCAATGTGGCTGTGGCCCTCATTCACAACACACACACACATACGTCTGAAAACATGGCTACAATAGTAAGAGCTCTCTGTATGTGTTCAATGTGGCTGTGGCCCTCATTCACAACACACACACACATACGTCTGAAAACATGGCTACAATAGTAAGAGCTCTCTGTATGTGTTCAATGTGGCTGTGGCCCTCATTCACAACACACACACACATACATCTGAAAACATGGCTACAATAGTAAGAGCTCTCTGTATGTGTTCAATGTGGCTGTGGCCCTCATTCACAACACACACACACATACGTCTGAAAACATGGCTACAATAGTAAGAGCTCTCTGTATGTGTTCAATGTAATGTGGCCGCGGGAAGTTCCTATAGCCATTGAAAAATTACTTCCATATATGTTTAAGTTTTTCCCATTTAGGATTGCAGGGATGATCTAGTTAGAAACGATGGTATTAGGAGGAAAGTCGGCACAGAACCAATACTGAACTTTATAAGTGGGCAACAAATCAAATGGTTTGGCCATGGAACAAGATTGGCATCAGACAGGGCACCACTGAGAGCCGTGTTATACAGACACAGTAGTAAATGACCCGGAGGTCGACGACGCAGAAGATGAGCGGGAGAAATATCGGAGACACTGAAAGGTACTCTATACGAAACGAGCAGACGGGAGCGTTCCATAGATCTCTTCCCGCCCTGACGCCGCAAGGCATTCCGGGAGAAGTCTGGTTTGACAATATGTTCTATTCTCTAGGTTTTTATTATTGGGGCTGCGTGGTCTCGAGGCATGGCGTCCGCGTCGAGTGCTAGAGGTTCCGGTTTCAATCCCCGGTAAGGGCTTGGAGTTTTTTCACTTGGACTTGGACTCCTAGTAATTTCCCCTGGTCTCTGGGTATAAGACCGGACGCCCGTGTGTATGGTTGCGCACGTAAAAAAAAAAATCGCTTAGTAGTTGGAAACAAAAAGAGTAGTCTAGCGGCGCTGCCCGGGCACATTTTGGAGTTACAAATCTACCCAAAAGTATTTCAGGATCCTCGCCGGTGCTATGGTATTCGTGCATTACGCTGAGATTTTTCGAACTCAGGCTTGAGTCCGAAGTAGAACGGAGCACTTATGAGTTACTACCCAGGGATTAAACCCGAAACCTCTAGCACTTGCCTCGAGATCACGTAGTCCTTCTCAAGTCACCGAATATGACCTGGAACCTGAACGGGGCACTAATAGTCTAACGTGGCGATTCTTCTTCTTCTTCTTTATATTCCTAATCTACTCTAGCCTTTTTTTAAGGGGTGGGGGGTTGGACCCGCTAAATTGTGTGTTACAGCTAGACAGTGATATGCGCGTCGTTCGTTCGGCCTCACACATCCAATGTCAGTTCTTTTTCTTCTTCGGGGGGGAGGGGGGGGGGGGAGTGGGACCCGCACTGGGCTTGTCCATGTTTACATTGTCGGATTCTTGTTGTGTTCCACAGGTGGCCATACTGGTGATTGCGTGTGCACAGCTCATCTACCTGGCCGTGGATGTTGTCTGTCTCGACGATTTTTCAAGGTGTGTTTTCTTTAACTTAGTTTGAACACACACACGCGCGTGCGCGCATACATAAATTCTGACTCTTTTTCTGTATGTATATATGTATGTGTCGGCTCTGTGGCTAAGTCGATGCGAACGCTTCGCTTCGTAATGCCGGGATGCCAGGTTCGATCCCAGCTGCGGGCAATGCGCCTTGCGTTGGTTTCGACAGTGGTATCAAGAAAGCCGACCGCCCAGAAGCAATGGCAAACTACTGGATGTAACTTGCCTAGAGAAACCACACAACAGCCAGGGGCTGTTGGGGTTGGTTCTGCAACGTCCTGTAAAGGATACGCAACTAACTTAAAATATGTATGTGTATAGTATGTATACATATATTTATATATGAGTATGTATATATATATATATATATATATATATATATATATATATATATATATATATATATATATATATATATATATCTGTCTATCTGTCTGTGCCTGCCTTCCCGCTAGTCTGTCTCTGCCTGCACGCTTGTCTGTCTGTCTCTTGAGATGAGCAGAGAACCGACATCACAGCATTCGTGACATTTATATAGAATCGGTAACAGGAATTCGGAGGAATCTCCTGATTAGTCGACTTCTACGACATGCTTGTTAGGGACGCAATGGGTCCACCCCCCCCCCCCCCCCCCCCAGAAATGGAGCCCTGGAACTCGCTCAGAGAGTTTCTATTGCTTTATTTCCATGGTTTGCCTGTCTCTCTAGCGTAGTTGGCTAAACTGAATTGCGCGGTGAGCGGGTGACGAACTCTTTGTGGTCCGGGTTCATTCCCGGGGGTGGGCAGAAAAGCCACATTTATCCTAGATTTACGGTATTTACAATGGAATCAAGGCCGAAAGGTTGCGATATCCAAAATACCGAGCCTAAGGGTTAACAACTCATGGTTTCTGGATACTAAAACAAACAAACAAAACAAACATTTCCATGGTTTTGCTTGTAACATTTGTGGGCAGTAAATCCGCTTGTTAGTTTCCTTCCACTCCTGCATATTCCGGACAGTCAATCCGCTTGTTAGTTCCCTTCCACTCCTGCATATCCCGGACAGTATACCCACGCGAAGAATATTTTAAGCTCAGTGCACGCCTTCCTTTTTTTTTAACCCACGATAATCTTGTTTTATGCTTTTACGGTGCCGCTGACACAATTAACGTGGGTTATGTGTTGCTTCCTGGGCACAGAGCAGTGTCGAGGCGTGATAACTTCGCATGTGTAAGCGCTAGCAAGTATTGATTACACTGGAGAGGGTATCACGTTATGTTCGGTTCCACGTCCCTTTGCTGTTGAGAGTGTTTAGGCGCAGCCAGCATCGTCGTACTAGTAACTGGTAGCTTTCTCACGGTGCAGTTTCTGCAAGAGTGGTGTTAGCATTCAGTGAGCGTTAGAGTCGCTGTGCTCGATACGTAAACGGAGTGGTATAATTGTGGTAAACAGTAGTAATAATAAACAGTGGAATAATACATTTATCTTTGGCATCGGAAAGTATAAGCGGCGGTTATATCCGTTACATGCACACCTCGCCACTGGGGAGGAGACAGAGCATGGGTGGGATTTGACTCAAGTGCGTTCATGTCAATACATTCATTCATTCATTCATTCATTCATTCATTCATTCATTCATTCATTCATTCATTCATTCATTCATTCATTCATTCATTCATGATCTTCACAGACGTTATACGAGGACATAAGAGTCCATGGGCATTTACAGCTCGCTATTCAGACAGAACAGTTCAGGAAGCCAGCGGTGCTTTCTTCATGACCACCACCAGCAGCATGACGATGGAGGTGATGGCGGTGACACAGGCTTTCATGTGGATGGGATCACAGGACTGTTCCCGCGTGTGTGTGCTGAGTGATTCTTTGAGCATGATCCGGTTGGTTGAGTCAGTCTGGTTACACAGACAGTGGCTTGAGTCGTTGCAAAATTCTCCTTGTGTGCAGTTACTTTCATATTCGTCCCAGGGCATGCAGGCGTTGTTGGTAATGAGAGAGATTATAGACTGGCAGGTGCTGCATTAATTGAAGATGGCCGCCCCATGGATCACGCAGAAATTGTCATTGCCCTTAGAAAGGACGTTCTGAGGATTTTGGAAGCAACGTGCCCACATCACTGCTAAGAATACGCGAACTTGGAGTAAAGATCGGCACAGCCAAGCATGAGAAGCACACAAAGTCTTGTTAACCAACATAGGACTGGTACTATTAACTGCACGATACTGATGAAAATGTTGAGAGGGGAATCTGAGCGCCTATGGATGTGTCCGGAGTGCTGTGAAGATAATCTAACTCATAACTAATTCATTCATTCATTCATTCACTGGTTCTAATAACGTTTTTTACCCCCAAAACACCGTGATTGCCGTTCATTCATGCTTCGTGACTTTTTACACGTTACAGTCTAAGTTACAGGGGTGCGACGTTGCGTTGTGTCCGATCTTCTGAGTCGTGTATATTGCGCGGCGTGTACTGGTTAGTGTGAGTGGCCGGCGAGATTGCGTATATTATAGCTTTGTCGGACTTGAAGTGGGACATGAATTTACTTCATCTGTAAGTGTCCAGGACCGACAAAGAGAGCAGCGTTGCTTTTCTGCAGCACTTTTAGGGTTCTGACGCAAAATGTTGACAATTCTGAAACAATATGACGTGGGCTGCACTATCCCGTGGGACGTAGGCTGAGCTTTGATGTAGGTAGGTTAGGGTTAGGGCCAGTTCAAGAGGTTGTGGGGTCATTAAAACGGCCAATCACAGTGTGTGGGGCAAAAAACGTTGGAAAGACCCATTCATTCATTTACTCATTCATTCATTTGTTCATTTGTTCATTTATTCATATCCCTGCTAATGCCCTAACAATTTCACCATTAAAACCATGCTTTTTAAAATATGCTTTTATTAATTTTGGTTTTGTTTGTTTGTTATTCTAAAAGATATTTGTCATTCGATTGTTTCATCATTTCTCGATGAGCAACAATGCTGACATTGTGCACACACATAATTTATGGATGGCAGCTTAATATGGGGGAAATATATTTGAAAATCGATGTATTTTTTATCTTACATTTCAGGTACATAATCACGCCGTACTTTATACCAATCATAGTCCTGGCTGCCTGTTTGTTTCGTCAGGAGGTCTGGTTCAGCACGGACATCAACTTCATCCTTCTGACCACCCTGTTAGCCTTCGCCTTTTTGTCCCTGATGGCCAAGAGTGCCTGGACAACCTATAAAATCATCCGAAACAACACTGGAGGCGGGGACATCACGGGAAGTGGGCCCTCCTCACCGGTCAATGAGTCCTACTATTTGCTGAAATAGTGCATTTATTATCGCCTTGTTATATTCAACAGCTATCCTGATTGGTGTACATTACCTAAGTTTTGTGTATACCTAAGATGTACAATTGGTTCGGTTATTTTTTCCTGACGTCATTATTTTAGACAGATATATATATTGGTAGATTTACTGATACTACTACTGCTGCTGCTACTACTTGACGAACCAGGCAGTCAAAACTGGCTAAACATACAGACAGACAGAAGGACAGACAGACTGATGGATAGGCGGACGTGCAATCCTAACATCAATACTGACAGACCAAACATATAGAGAGACACATAGAGTAGACACACAAAACAAATAGAGAAACAAAAACAGTATCTTTTAAGATAGCCAAACAGGCATAGAAACAAGAAAACGGACAGACGGGCTGAAGAATGATATTGGCAGACGAAGTGATAGAAAGACAAATAATGTAGGCAGACGAACAGACTGAAACAAAAGCCACTAAGATTAGTCAGACAGACAAACAAGTCGACAGACAGATTTGAAGGATACAGACACGCAGATAAATAATGTCTATGTTAATTATCGATATGTTACACTGAGTATAATTTCGTGCCTTATATGACGTTGCTCTTGCCAAATGTTTGCAATCACTGTGTCTGACCATATCTGTATATTCTTCTTCTTCTTCTTCTTTCTTCTTCTTCTCATCTCCTCCACTTACCTATCGTATTACAGCCACCGCTGCTGCTGATACTACCGCTGCTGCTGCTGCTGCTACTGCTACAACAACAACACTACTACTACTACAACTAATACTACTACTCCTGCTAATGCTACTGCTACCACCACCAATACTACTACTACCACCACCACAATCACTACTACTACTACTGCTGCTGCTACAACAACAACAGCTTCTACTACTACTACTACATCAACAACTACTACTTCTACTTCTACTACTACTACAACAACCACTGCTACAACAGCTACTACTACTACTATTTACAGCTACTGCTACTGACAATGCTTCCACCGCTGCTGTATTTACATACTTTCGGTCTTAATATTTATACTGCTGCAACTTCTCCCTCCTGCTACGTGTTCAGACTTAGACCCAAATGTTATTTGATTCCATTAAAAGCATTAGTCAATTTTACGTTAACGACAATTCTGTAGTTATTGGGGAAAAACATTGGTTGATGCCATATTTGTTTACCATTCTTGCTATAAATAGGACATGTCAATCTGTAATGGTTGCCTGTCTGTCATGAAGCTGCCCCCCCTCCCCCTTCCACACACACAGGCAGACATTCACTCATGCACACTCATTCTCACACACTCCACTTATATATATATATATATATATATATATATATATATATATATATATATATATATACATACACACACACACACTTACACACACACATTTACTCTCATTCACAAACTTACATTCACTCATACACAGACTCACGCCTACACACACACTCATACGAGCAGACACTGAAACTTATTCATGCACACACATTCACTCATACAAAAACATTCACACTACAAACACCACACATTCTCACTTATACGCACAGACACCAAAACTCATTTATGCACACACACACACATACACCCTCCTATACACACTCACACGTACAAACACACTGATACTCACACAACACACACCTCACACCCTTCATGTACACAGATCAAGAGACTCAAAGAAGTAATTCTGAACCTTTGAAATAATTTCTTCTTTTTTTTTATTATGACAAGCTAGATGTTGTGAGGGTCGTTTGAGAGTGAGTGAACGGTGCGGGGGGGGGGGGGGGCACAAATAGATCATTACGGTCTGAAGAGAATGGCGCTGCGGGGAGTCACTAGGGGATCTAGCCGACGCTCAACACTCAAGGAATAGGCGAGACGGATGTACCATCAGACAGTTACTGGTACCGTCGGAATTTGAACTCTTCTCTTTCTGCTGAAGATGGGAGTGTCCCGAGTGCTGCGATGTCGATTCCTAATTCAGCATTCGACGTTTATTTCTACTTTTTGTATACTGCTGGCATTGAAAATGAAAATGTAATCTTTCCGTTAATCTTGTCGATGACCTTCAGATTTTCCCATGTGGCTTGGATGGTCTTTTGTCCATTTTTTTTTTTTTTATAACAAGCAAAATGTGTCCTAGACAAACCAACAACAAACAAAAGCGAACTTAATACAAGCGTTTAGAAAATACACGGCGTGCGTACCTTGTATATCCATTCGGGGTGCCACCTGAGATAAGAAAATCTAACTATGGAGATGGTAGGCCAACAGTACCTGCATAGTTTGACTCCGTGAGATTAAAGAATATTATGTGACAGAGCGACGAGGCAAGCCTTGATTCAGACGGCACAGTATGAAAGTATCATCAGTAGCAGGTCCTTTGCAGAACGTTGCTCTCATCACGGTCTGTCTGAAAGAAACTCTGTCTCTCGCCAGTTCTCCCGCCTCGTGTACTTTCATACTTAAGGAGTCACATATATCCTGTGCCCATCTTCATGTTGGTCAGCCCCTGCCCCTCCTTCCTGGTACCATGCCTTCTGCTATAATTGTTTTTCCAATCCGTCGTGACGCTTGATATGACCAAAATATTTCAGCTTCCGAGACATTATGCTGTTTATTAGTCAATCTTCCTTGATGGTCAGTTCTTTCAAGATATCAGTATTTCTACTCTTTTTCGTCCAAGATATTCTGAGAATCTTTCTATAGCTTTTCATCTCAAAAGCCTCTATTCTCTTTCCTAAGGACTGAGAAGTAGTCCACATCTGTATGTGGGGTATAAAAGTATACTATGTACTTATTATGTAACAAATCACTTGACATTCTCAGATCACCTCAGGAACCCTATGCTAGTAGATCCATCGGGCAAATGCCCATGCGTAAATACAACCCAGCCCACCCCCCCCCCCCCCTACCCCACCCTTCCCCGTCCCCTTTCTTTCTTCTTCCTCCCCAAATGGAATTCTGAAATCCACACGGGGAAGCTGTACTTCTAACAAAAGGTAATTTGGATATACACTAAAATCAAACTGATTCCCACCAGTATCTCAAGACTGACACGTTCGTGGCAAACTGTATCAGGAAATCGAATCAGTCATGAATTATAAGTTCCCTGACATAAAACACTAGGTATTGTGGGAAAACCATTGAAGCGTGCGGAAAATTTGGTGTCAAGTGCCTGAGAAGAACCTCCACAGTCGAGAAGCTATAATTAAGTGCAGTTTTTAGACAAAAGTCCGGGGGCTGTGGCTTAGGCTTTGAGAACCCGCTTGGTAATTCGTGAGTTTCCGGTTCGATCCCAACTGAAGGCGATTTGGCAGCAGACACGACCCAACTGCTCTCGGAGCAAGGCTGCCGAAGTTGGTAGTTTTGTACACATTTGATCCCATTGACCCTCGCCGAGCAAAGCTGTACTTTTGGTGTTATGGCCGATGTTTTGATGCGTTAAAGAAATTTAGCATCAGTATTCAAAATCTTAACATTTTGTGACAACTCCAGGTACTCAAGGAGTTGGGGTGGGGTAGTGGAAGAAAAAAAAAGGGGGGGGGGGGGGCTGCGTGGTCTCGAAGCATGGCATCCGCCTCGAGTGTCGGAGGTCCTAAGTTTAAGCCCGGTAAGAGCTGGGGTTTTTTTTCACGTGGGCTTCTAGTAATTTCCACTGGTTTCTGGGTAGTAAGATCGGACGCCCGTGTGTACTTTTGCGTGCGTAAAAAATCCCTCGGCAGTTGGAAATCGAAAAAAGTAACTTTACGGCGCTGCCCGAGCGAAAATTTTGAGTTAAAAATCTACCTATCGTATTTCAGGATCCTCGCCGGTGCTACAGAGTTCGTACACTGCGCTGAGATCCTTCGAGTCAGAAGTAGAACGGAGCACTTATTGGTTACCCCTTGTGCCATCATGTTGATCCGTCGTCTAAAACTAAACTGAAGAAAGACTAACACCAGCTATGTCATTAGTCACATAATTTGCCAGCCTTGTCAAAGAAGAACATTCTTAACAAATAAAAAACAAGAATAGGGTGAACTAAAAGTGCAAGATCGACAACCTTATACTCGAACAAAAATAAGGGGGTGGCGGAGGGGGGCAGTTTGGTTTACAGATTCATAAGACAAATGTGGAGATCAAAATCGCTTTCAACTGGTATCAAAATTTATGCTTAGTCTTTTGGCATTACCTCATTCCTCTGCAGCTACAAACGCAGTTTTCTCTCTGCTTAAAAATATTAGGATACACAGTTGGTCTTCTTTGAAAGACTTCAACAACAAGTGAATCCATGAGATCATAGTTATTGCTCCAGTACATGAAGTTCAACAACTGAATGCCTCCACAACAGCTTTGTAACAAACTGAGCGGGGAGGGGTGTGGGGGTGGTGGTACAGAATTGATGTAATGGACAAAAAATCAATTCTGATCAAATATAAGGTAAATCCGATTTTTACACACACACACACACACACACACACACACACACATATATATATATATATATATATATATATATATATATATATATATATATATATATATATATAAAAATTAGTTGTATATACTTTACAGGACGTTGCAGAACCAACCCCAGCAATTTTTGGCTGTTGTGGTTTTTCTAGGCAAGTTTGATACCACTGTTGAAAACAACGCAATGTGCAAGGCCCGCAGCTGGGATCGAACCCGGTACACCGGCATTACGAAGCGCGTTCGCAATGCCTAAGCCACAGACACCGACACACACACACACACACACACACATATATAATGGCATCCATCAGTCCCGTGGGACTATGGAGATGTGCCGCTGGCTTTGGGAACAGCATCTGCTGTATCTGTAAAGTCCAATGCGGGAATGGCAGTCTTTGCCACACAGGATACACACAAAAGCAGATACTCTCTCGTTGTGAGGCAGTTTTACTCTCCGGTGTCTCCTCTCCACAGCTCGTTGTGTTCGGTTTCTTTCAAAATGTGACAGTCAGTCTTTCACTTTCTGTCTCCATAGT